GGGTGAGAGCAAAACTTCATCTCCTATTTTAATTGGTGGAGAACATGCGTCAGTGCAGGGCTGAGGTAGAGCGTGATCCGCAAAGTCCCATAGAAGTGAACGTAGGTGTAGAATAACAACAGCCACTTTTGATTGCACTCCAGCTTGGTGAGGCTCAGTAAAGCCTTCCATCAGAATTCCCTTCAGGCGTCTGTCTCTTTGGTAATAAATGTCCGTTTTTCTGTTTGGAATTCTTCTAGATTGAGTGCAACGAAGCGAGTTGACATCTTCAGCAAAGCACCTTGTATTGTAGAATGAAGCCGTCATTCACCCTCCCATCCTTATGAAGCAGCCTGCCAGGGCTGGAGAGATGGTTCACTGGTTAAGAGCACTTATTGCAGATGAACCAAGTTTAACTCCCAACACTCACAGTTATCCATAACCCCTGTTCCAGAGGATCAGACGCCAGCCGTGTTCTGACCTCCGAGGACACTAAGCACGCACATGGTGCACACACAGCAGACAAAACATTCATATACATATAATAAGTCTAAAAAAATCAATGTAGCTTCCTGGCTTTATGATTTCAGACAGCCCAGGAGAGCCTTGAATGCTGCCAAGACCCTGGTACAATGTAAGTGCTGATGGGTGAGGCCAGTGCTCCTGTCCAGTCTGGAGCCACCCTGATTCCTGCCCCCCAAAGTGATGCAGATACCACTCTCGTGGGCTCCATTGTAGCACCATGGCTGAGGAAAGGCAGGAGCAGAGTCGTCTGACTCAGCTGCCTGGATTTGCTAATGAATCATCCTCAACTTATAGGCTCTAGAAGATCCCCAGATGCCACCTGTACAAAGTGGTATTAAGTTAAAGCCAACACATATGGCAGGTAAAATTCTTCTCTAGTTTCTATGCATTTTCATGCAAGTTCCAGGACACTTGATATTTTCACACACAGACACACACACACAGATACACATACACAGACATTCACATAGATACACATACAGTCATGAAGAGACCCAGACCCAGACATATAAGACACACATGCACACACACAAACACAATACACACATGCACAGATGTTCACACAGACACATACATGCAGACACACACACACAGTCACAAAGAGACCCAGATACAAACACATGAGACAAACATAGACACATATGCAGACATATATACAGATACACACACACATCAACAAACATATGTCAGACACATACACACACAGACATGCACTGACTGCTCTTTCAGAGGACCTGGGTTCAATCCCCAGCAACCACATGGTGGCTCATAACCTGCTATAGTGGGATCTGGTGCCCTCTTCTGGCCTGCAGGTATACATGCAGGCAGAACACACACCTAAAAAAATAAATAAATAAATGTTACATAGAGAAACACTGTCTTGAAAAACAACAAAAACATTTTAAATTACATTGAGGAAGTCTATGATCCGAAAAAGGTTAATGCCATGGAGATGACTGAAGTGGAAAAGTTGTATTTGCAGGAAAAAGTCCTGTCCTGGTGTCAACACCATTGGAGTGCAGGCAGAGAAGCAGTCTGAATGCCGTCTGTAAGAGAGTCTCCTCTCTGTCCTTTAGGAGCAAGCTTTCAGATCATGTGAGGGGCAAGCTTGCTCCTGCCGGGATAACCACAGACCCCAGGCCGACAGCACCCCTGACCCTGGAACACGTGATCCAGACCCATCCTGTGGTGGTAGGCTCCTGTTTGCTCTCCAGGAGATCAAAGGACAGATGAGAGTAGGAGGTGGAGGAGGACCGGGAGGTGGGGCAGCGCAGGAGGCCAGCAAGTGTGAGATTTCTGAGATTTCCGGGCTGGAGACAAGTATGGGAGATGTCGGGTAATGGCGGGCACTGGAGGGATGAAGCGTTTTCTAACTCCCTGGAGTTGGAGCACACAACTATGCCTGCTACAGCACTTGGCGTGTACCTATTTTGTGCACAGCGACAGAGGCCATGCCAGTATGTGTTATTTTCTTCCTTCATTCATTGTAGGAGGCTAAGACCGCACGTCGATACTGGGTGAACTATGTGGACGAAGAATAAGATTTTATACGGTTACTAGATGTAAAGAAAATCCAAACATGATGATAGGCAACGAGGCTGACATCCAGTAAAGATGTAAATCCCTGACACGAGACACCTGGTACGGATCGGTCTTTCCTTGTAAAGGTGACGTCACCATGCAGAGCCCAGAGCCGTGAATTCAGATGGATGGGGACGGCCAACACGGACAGGACAGTGGTCGTTGCCAGCCTGCTGAGCAGACTTAGGAATGGGACTTAAACTGGGGGCTCTTCAGTTCCACTGGCTCGGCGTCCTTCTGCCTGCTGCTGTGTTCGCAGTGCCTTAAGGAAAATATGCCTGTTTTCTTTCTTAAAAATAAGTTTTTTTAGAAAAACTTTTAAATTATGAGTGAGCATAAAAAGGCAGGATCCATTGATCAAAGGCGTCTGGTGAGATGAAATTAGCTTCATAAGGTAGAAAAATATAATTAATGGAGGTAGTAGCCAACACTTGGTTGGATTAGGCACATCTGAAGACAGCATGCAGGAACTGGATAGGCCAAAGACTTGGTCTGATGCCTACCCCTGACAAATAGCTGGCCTTCCTAGGCCAGAGGGGTTTAATCCCAGGTCTAGCAGCAATGACGGAGAGGCATAGGAAGGTACAGCACCAGAAAAGAAAGGTATTTCTAGAATTGGGGGAAAATGTCAACCTTTAGATTTAAGGAGTCCAAAGAATAACAAACAGTAGTGAAAAAACAAATAACGGCGCCAGCTGGGGATGCGGCTCAGTGGGAGAGGGCTTGACTTGCTTTCTCAAGTTCCTGGGTTCACTCCCCAGCACTTCAAGCTGCTGAGAAGCCAAGGACAATGCCACTGGGTTTTGATCCTACTTCATGTTCTGGCTTTGTGGGAGCCTAACCAGTTTGGATGTTCACCTTCCTAGACCAGGATGGAGCGGGGAGGACTTTGGACTTTCCACAGGGCAGGGAACCCTGACTGCCCTTCAGACTGGAGAGGGAGGGGGAGAGGAGGGGGGGGGGGGGGGGGGGGGGGGGGGGGGGGGGGGGGGGGGGGGGGGGGGAGGGGAAAAGGGAGAGGGGGAGGGAAATGGGAGGCGGGGAGGAGGCGGAATTTTTTTTTCAATAAAAAATTATATTTAAAAAAAGAATAAGATAATAGTAATAATAATAACAACAATAATATTAATAACAATAATGTAACTAAGAAAATAAAAAACAAATTAATAATAATAATAATAGGGGATGTAGAGATGGCCTAGCGTTTAAGAGCACGTCTGCTCTAGCAGAAGATCTGGGCTCAATTCCCAGAACTCACACGGTGGTTTACAGTTGTCTATGACTCTGGCAGTGTCAGGGGACCCGAGGCCCACTTCTGGCTTCTGTGGGCACTGTATGCACATGGTACACAGACATACATGCAGGCAAAACACCCACACATGTAAAAATATGAAAAGAAGATTTTAAAAAAACTAGCTAAAAAAAAAATAAAGTTCAGCCAGGCATAAGATGCACACCTTTAATCCCTACACTCACACTTGGGAGGCAGAGGCAAGAGGATCTTTGTGAGTTTGAGATGAGCCTGGTTCAGAATAGCAGTAGAGATCCTTAGAGGAGCCGAAGGAAGAGGCCGTTCTCACAGAGGAATAGCATCCAAAGGCGAGCAGTTCCCTAGTGGGGATGGCAGGTAGAATCTTAGAGAATCTTTTTCTTAAACTCAATTTTTTATTGGTTTTTACTGAGCTCTACATTTTTCTCTGCTCCCTTCCCTGCCTCTCCCCTTCCCTTCAACCCTCTCCCATGGTCCCCATGCTCCCAATTTACTCAGGAGATCTTGTCTTTTTCTATTTCCCATGTAGATTAGATCCATGAATGTCTCTCTTAGGGTCTTCATTGTTGTCTGGGTTCTCTGGGATTGTGAATTTATAGGCTGGCTTTTCTTTGCTTTATTTCTAAAAGCCACTTATGAATGACTACATATGGTATTTGTCTTTCTGGGTCTAGGTTACCTCACTGAAAATGATGTTCTCTAGCTCCATCCATTTGCCTGCAAATTTCAAGATGTCATTATTTTTTTCTGCTGTGTAGTACTCCATTGTATAAATGTACCATATTTTCCTTTTCCATTCTTCGGCTGAGGGACATTTAGGTTGTTTCCAGGTTCCTGCTATGACAAACAAAGCTGTTATGAACATAGTTGAGCACATGTCCTTGTTGTATGATTGAGCATCCTTTGAGTAAATACCCAAAACTGGTATTGCTGGGTCTTGAGGAAGGTTCTTTTCTAATTTTCTGAGAAACTGCCACATAACAGAGTGTACAAGTTTGCACTCCCACCAGCAATGGGGGAGTATGCTCTTTACCCCACAGCCTCTCCAGCATAAGTTGTCATCAGTGTTTTTTGATCTTGGCCATTCTTACAGGTGTAAGATGGAATCTCAGAGTTGTTTTGATTTGCATTTCTCTGATAGCTAAGGATGTTAAGCATTTCCTTAAGTGTCTTTCAGCCATTTTAGATTCCTCTGTTGAGAGTTCTCTATTTAGGTCAGTACTCCATTTTTTTTTTGGATTATTTGCTCTTTTGATGACCAATTTCTTGAGTTCTTTGTATATTTTGGAGATCAGACCTCTGTCTGATGTGGGGTTGGTGAAAATTTTCCCCCATTCTGTAGACTGTCGTTTTGTCTTGTTGACTGTGTCCTTTACTTTACAGAAGCTTTTCAGTTTCAGGAGGTCCCATTTATTAATTGTTTCTTAAAGAATCTTTTTAACAAGAAGTAGAGTCAGGTGGTAGTGGTGCACACCTTCAATTCCAGCACGTGGGAGGCATAGGTGCGGATCTCTGTGAGTTCAAGGACAGCCTGACCTACAAAGTGTTCCAGGACAGCTTGGGGTACACAGAAACCCTGTCTCAAAACACAAAACAACAAGTACTTAACAATTAACTAAGGCAAGTCCACCACTTATAAGCCTCCCTCAAAGAAAGTAAGAAAATGTCAGGCACATTGGTTCCACTGGCGAATTCTGCCGGCGTGTCGGGAGGAACAGCACAGAATGAAACCCGCATGTTCTTCTTGGTTACTACTCCCAATAAAAACAATAGCAAATCATAAAAAGGAAGGGGAATCCTTGAGCTAATCAAATGTTTAACTACACATGTGTGAACAATGGTGTGTGTAACAGCGACGTAGTGCAGCCTTGTCTTTGAGGTGGGAACAACACAAGGGTCCCATCATTTCCACTCCATTGTGAAACTATACCAGAAGCTTGACCCACACAAGGGTGAAAAATGTATAATGCTGTCATCTTTTGTAAGTTTTTGCTTTCATTTTATTTCTTGTGTATAGGTGTTTGTGTACACCTGCACACAGTGCCCCAGGAGGCCAGAAGGGAGTGTTGGATTCCCTGGAACTGTAGTTGCAGATACTTGTGAGCTGCCGTGAAGGGCAGAGAGTTGAACCTGGGTCCTCTGGAGCAACCAGTGTTCTTACCCTCTGAGCCATTTCTCCAGCCCCATCTTATATGGTTTAAATACTACAAGAAAATTTAGCTCTGTTTTATTTTGGTTTTGTTTATTTGGTTTTTGTTTCAGATTTTCAAGATTCCACTGCCTCTGCCTCCTGAGTGCTGGGATTAAAGCTGTGTGCTACACACCCAGCTGATTCAGCTGTGTTTAATTATGCAAACATTTCTCCTCCCAGTAAACAGAATTTTAAAAGAAGATTTAACTGTTGTGTGTGTGTGTGTGTGTGTGTGTGTGTGCATATGTGTGTGATTGGTCAGATATGTCCATTCTCCTAGTGCTGGAGTTACAATTGGTTGTGAACTGGAGGCTGTGTGGGTGTTGGGAACCATAGTTGGGTCCTCTGCAAGAGCACTGAACCTCTGAGCCATCTCTCCAGTCCAGCAAATAGAACCGGTAAAGATACTTGAATAAGAAGGTAATGGAGTTCCTTCATTCCACAGGTGACAAATATGTTAAATACAGCTGCCATGTCATTAATGCTAAGAATATTCATGAGAGATGTGTGTGTGTGTGTGTGTGTGTGTGTGTGTGTGAGAGAGAGAGAGAGAGAGAGAGAGAGAGAGAGAGAGAGAGAAGAATGAATATATCTCAGCTTTTAGGTTAGTTGAGATGGGAGAATCTTTTGAGCCCATGAGTTCAAGATCAGCCTCATCAACTTAGTGATACCGAGGGCAAGAAAGAGGGAAGGAAGGAACCATGGCAGAGTGGCAGGAGGAAGGAGAACTAGAGGGATGGAAGGAAAGGAAGGCAGGCTGCCACTTTCCTTCTTCATCCACAGAGAGCAAGAAAAAGAAGTGGTGTAAGTAAGCGCTGTCCGCTAGCACTATATCCTAACCCTGAGATCTGTGCGCACAGCAGGGCCTCAGAAGGCTGAAGACAAGCCGGACTTCCTTGTGCACACCAAGGATCCCTTAGCTGGAATGTTTGTGACCAGGAGTGTTTAAGACTTCAGAGTCTTTCAGATTTTGGAATATTTGTACAGACTTTAATGTTTAAATATCTCTCATGTCCCAACATCTGTTTCGTAACTGGGGCTGGAGCCAGGTAGTCTCAGTGACTAAGAGCATTTATTTCTCTTGTCAAAGGCCCAGGATAGATTCTCAGCACCCACATGATGGCCCACAACCATCCATGACATCCGTTCCAGGGGGTCTGATGCCCTTTTCTGACTTCTGTGGGGAGTGCACGTGTGATATATGCTTACATACATGCAGGCAGAGTACTCAAACACTAAATAAAAATAATCTAAAAGCAACAACAGAAAATTCACCTTACAGCCCAACCAGAGATGCCGAGTGGTAGCCACACACAGGACTGGTAGCTGGATGGGAGAGCCACGCTGATCCTGCCCTGACTTCAGGGGCCTTGCCTAGCCCTGCTTCTGAAGAACTGGGTCCCTAGCTGGTGCACTGTTGTGATTCACTGGGAGGGTGACCCAGTGCCCTCTGTGAACTTTTATCCATTTGTTGTGTGGTCATCAACTCAGGGACTGACTCCTGAAAAGCTTTCCAAACTGGATTAAAGATGCAGCTATAGGGCTGGACTGGATGGCTCAGAGGTTAAGAACACCACACCGGCTGCTGTTCCAGAGGACTGGCTTTGATTCCCAGCACCGACGTGGCAGCTCATAACTTTAGTTTTAGGAGATCCAAAGCCCTTCTCTGGGGCATGAGTTTGATTTCTGGAGTTCACATGCCAGAAGGAGAGAACTGACTCCCACAAATTGTCTTCCACCTCTTTGTGAGCACTGCAGAACTCGTGTGCCCACACACATAAATACATGCTTGCATACACATGTGCATGTAATGTAAAACATGTAATGTCATATATACATATGTGTGTGTGTGTGTGTGTGTGTGTATTAGGGGTTTGATTATGTAGCTCTGGTTGGTTGGAATTAGTTATGTATACCAGACTTGGCCTCCTCTGTGCCGCCATGTGTACCACCATGACTGGCAATAAAATAAAGTAAAATAAAAAATAAAAAGCATTTTTTTAAAAAATAAAATCTTGGGGTACTGGACAGATTGCCCCATGACTGCGCTCCCAGAGAACCTGTACTGGACACCCAGACCGTCATGGTAGCTCAAAGCTGTCTGTATATCCAGTTTCAGGGATCTGTTGACCTTTTCTGGCCTCTACAGGCACCAGGCAGGCAAGCGGCCCGAGAGCAATATTCAGGGGAAACGCTCACACACATAAAATAATACATTGTTTTCTTTTTCAAAAATGAAGTCTTAGGCCACTGTACCTACGCCATTTGTGTGAGTGAGGAGGGCAAGCTAGCTCAGTGGGTAAAGGATCTTGATGCCAAGTTTGATGATCTGGATTTGATCGCTGGAGTCCACCAGGGAGAAAGAGTGTACTCTGTTGTCCTCTGCACACGTGTGCATGCACACACTGCTTTCCTAAAGGGCCCGAGTTCAGTTCCCAATATCCATGTCAGACAGCTCAAAACTGCCTGCAACTCCAGCTCCAGGGAAAGCTGATGCCTCTGGCTTCTGTAGGCACCTACACACACACACACACACACACACACACACACGCACACGCACACGCACACACACACGCAGCGCACACACACATGCACATGCACGCACACACGAATGCACACACATACACACACGCACACATATACACACAGCGCACACACACATGCAAATACACAGCACACACACGCACATGCACACACACACGTGTGCATACACAAACACACGAACGCACACACATACACACACAAAGAATAAAGAATCAGTAGGAGAGAAGGCAGATTTTCCTGCTGAGGTCCTCGTCTGGGCTATGTGCTCTTAGTTTTTTTTGTCAACTTTTGACACAAGTTAGAGTCGTCTGCGGGGAGGGGACCCCAACTAAGAAAAGGCTTCTTCTATAAGCCTGGAGTGTGGGTGAACCTGTACTGCATGTCCTCCATTAATGGTTGATGTGGGGGTGGTGCCCGCCCTGGGCTGGTGGTCCTGGGCTGGCTGAGCAGAAGCGTGCAGGAGCAGGAAGGAGCCAAGGTCACTACTTCAGTCCCTGCCCCAAGTGAGTTCCCGAACTGACCTACTGGGTGATAGAGTACACGCTGTCAGTTCAAATAAACCCTCTTCCCAGCTTGCTTTCTGCCCTGGCGATTTATCCGCAATAGAAACCCTAACTGACATAGGAATTGGTACCCAGTGGGGTATTGCTGCGTGTGACAGACCTGGCCATGTGTTTTGGGGAGGATCATGGTGGCATGGAATCTGGGCTAGAAACACCCCTCAGTGCTCAGACCGCAGCGGCTGGTTGCTCTCTGGGATCTCAGGAGTGATGCAGGTGATGGCGGACTGGCTTGTGCAGTTTCACAGGGATGCAAAGACCTCTCTGTTTAGGCTAATTATGTGGTATTTTGAATGAAGATTCTGTGGTTCAGGTCAGCTGGGCTGAAGGACCAGTTGTGATTAAAAAGAAACCAGCAGCCTTGTGGTAGGTAGATGTCCTGGGAACTGTTTCCATGGGGACGGCACAGACCATGGCTCTTTTTTTTTTTTTTTTTTTTTAATTTAAGAAAAAGTCATTGGGCATGATGGGAGATACTTTTAATTGTAGCATTCAGGAGGCAGTGGCACTTCAAGGCCAGCCTGGTCTACATAGTGAGTTTCAGGCTAGCCCAGTGTTCAAACAAACAAACAAACAAACAAACAAACAAACAAGCAGTCAAGCGGATCAGCTTTGCCTTCTCCAGGTCTAATTCCTTTTGTAACCAGTTAAGAGAATGTGGTGAGGTGGGCAGCAGAGAAAAACCCTTGCTTCTGCTTTCTGTATACTTAACTTATTTAGTGGGAAAAGACAAATCAGGAGTCAAAACCTCCTCTCACTTTCCCGCTTCTCTGTAAGCTTTAGTGGCCTTATCTGTTGAAGACTGTGGGCACCTTGCAGGGTTGTGTGTCTACATGACGTGTGTACACAATCCCCTGCATACAATAGGCCTTCTTGTATTCTGAGGTAGGACTGGGGTCTGGAAACCAGAATGTGGGTCATTGAAGGCGCTAATTCTGACTTCACTTCAGGTCTGTTGGTGGGAGCCACGGATTGGGAATCTGTTCTCAGAAGTGTGTGAAGAGTACCCGTCCCCATTTTTATCAGCCTTGCCCTTGATCTGTGGGGAGATTTATCTTAACTCCCCTCCAGTCCTTCTTGCAGCCAAGTTCCCCCGGGGCATCCACCCCCTTTCCACCTTTGTGGTCTTTCCTGTGGGCTTGGAGTCAGCAGGTGGGCGCAGCCTCCTCCCTCACACCCACTCCTCCTGGAAGCTGCCTGCAGTTGTCCCCTGCTGGTCACCCTCCTGGGATATCCTCACACTTCCATCATTCTGCTCCTGACCTGTTACTGTTTTTGTCTCCAATGCCCCTTGACATTCCTATAAAAAGCTTCTCAATTAGTGCTCTTCCCTTCCAGGACTTTTGTGGGACTTCAGTTCCTCCTACCAGGACTCTGGAGACCACTGAAGCTCCCACATGTAAGAAGTTTGGCAGGCACCCTCCCTTTCAGAGTTCCCCTTTGGACTTCTCCATCAGCTCCAAAGCTTCTCACCATATCTGCAGCTTTGACCCTCTGACCCCTCTGTGGAGGCCCCATCTCAGTTTACCGTTCTCCTGTGGAAACTGGGAACTAGGAAGCTAGGAAGGCTGCCCCGAATTCAGTGTGGTGGCTGCTGTTCCTCCTAGACACAGGGACATCTGCATTCCGTGGTTGTCCCTGAGCTCAGGAGGACTATGGATGAGGGAAGGCATCGGCATGGGGCCATCTGTGCTAAGATCCATTTCTCTCAGATTTGGCCCAGGTCAAGGGGAATGAAGGAGAAATATGGAATCCCCCAGGAAATGGCTAATGAAGAGGGCAGGAGAATAGCCCAGCACTGAAGAGAAATACCCCACCGTGGTCACCCAAAAATAGCTGTCAGGCCTGAGTCTAAGTCAGGAGTCACAAACAGCCCCCGAAGGGGCAAAAGGAGCCATAGAAGACAGTGGAATAAATAGCATGTCAGAGACCCGGGACTGCCAGAAACTCAAAGGGACAGCAAAGACATAAAATCTGCATGGGAGGCAGTAAAACCCCAAGAGCGACATAGAGACAAACTGACAGGGTGGTGTGGCGCAGATACTTCACACGTCAGCCATACATGCCATACATGCAGAGGGGCCGAGATGAAACAGCTCAGGGGAGAGGCAGGAGAAACGGAAAATAGGCAGGGGCAGTCATTCCCAGGCACGGATGACCTCCGAGGCTTGATGGCCTCACCGAGACAAAGCGCTCCCCCTGATTCACTCCTGAAGAAACCTGGACCCACTGGGCATGGAGCGCTTAGGTAAGGAGGCTGAAGAGACTCAAGCGGTCTGCTCTTTAGCCCTGGATTCAAAGGTCAGAGAGGTCAGGGAGAGACGTTGGCTGCTTTATTTGTTTTCAGTGTATCTACTCCTGGTTCCTAAACCCACCAGGACACTGGTGTGGCTCAGGAGGACAGCTAGGAGAGGAGCTGACCGGAAGGCACCTTCTTCAGCTAGCTCTCACCCAGCTCTGCACTTGCTCAGTGGGGTGACCCGCTTTCAGTCACAGTGACCAGTGAGTGACAGGTGAGCCCTGCTGGTCCCCTTTGAAAGCCTGTCTACTCTTCTCTACAAAACCAGTCATCGCAAATAATCCAATGTCCTTAAACGAGACGCTCAATGTCAAGTAGTCTAAAGAACTGTGCGCGTTTAAAAGCAACCACCAAAGTCACCGTTTTCTTTCCCCACTTGGTGACAATTATTCTCATTGAAGGGGGTCTCTGTGCATTAACTTAGGATTCGGGAGTGCTCTGTTTGCTTGGTCAGCTTGGGGGAACAAGAAGCTGCTAAGGACTAGCTTGGTACCTGAACTGAGCAACTAATTGGGCTCATGTCTCTGTGTTCTGCAGTATGGATTTCCATTATGCCTAGCCTCCCAAAGACCCCCCCCACACACTTTTCTTTCAATAAAGAAGACCCTAGATGTGAGGCCAGGACCCAGGATGTCTCCTCTCTTTAGTTCCAGCTCCCAAGAACAGGGGCTTTGTTGTCTGAGAAGGGATGCGACCAGGGGAACCTACCCCTCCGGGAACTGAGTTGGGCATACATTTATGGTTCCTGGGCTCTCCCCTTTGTTTATTTTTTGTGGGAAGGTTGCGGGTGCAGAGGCCCGGGCATGAAGTTTCTCTGCTTTTTCTGGGAAGGCTGAGGCTTCCCAAGGACCGGCCAAACCCGGAGAGAAGTAGAATTGCAAGTAGGGCGAAGGCCACTCCTCTCTCAGGGAAGCGCAGGTTATTAACTGGGAATTCTTTATAGCTGGCCCGAAGGCAGTTTTCGGCTGTAAACTGTCATGCACCGCAGCCCTCCTTAAAAAAGGCTATGGACGAGGTTCTGGGGACAAAGATCAGAAATCAACCACAGAAGAGGGTAGGGCCGAAATAGCTAAGCCTTGGAAGAGTTGCTTTTAGCCTGGAGTGTAGAGATATCACTGTTCACGGTAGAAAATGTAATATTATTTATTTGTCTCCTCTCGTTTGGAGAACGGATCCAAAGCAATCTTCCATGAGCTTCGTGGAGGATGGAGAAAAATTCATCTGTGAAGAACCCTATTCCCAGGCCGGATTCACCTTCACGCCAGAGGTTAGAGACCTCCAGCCTCTTTTGGATCCACCCTTCGTCCTCACGTCCACTCCGCCTAGACAGACCCTTTATTCCCAGTGCAGGGACTCAGAGAGTCTCAGGCCTTAGGTCTTTTGCATCTCTTCCGCAAACTCCTGCAAACCCACCATACAAGCTGGCTGGTGGGCGTTGCGGGTAGGGCTAGGACTGGGTGCAAATGAGGGCCTTTTGGTGTGTCTGCAGAAGGAACCGTTTCCCTACGGTCGGGCCAGACCGAAATTTCTTTACATCCTGGACTACAAAAGAGCAATAAGCATGATAGCTAGCGAATCCCAGTGCCCAGTAGTCAGTTGGAAAAGGGAAAGTAGCCCAGGACGAGTTCCCATCCCACTCCGGGAGTGCCTTCCCGCCATTGGCTCCCAGAAAACCCTCTCTTGCAGAAGCAAGAGGCAGGCAGAATCCGAAGACCGGGTCTGCCTTTCCCAGCAACCCCGACCCTAAAGACTTCCCAGGGAGACTAGGAGAGGCACAGGATTTTCAAAAGTGGGTGCCCCACCTGATGCAGGGGCCTTTTCCAAGGAACTTCCAGGGTCGGGTGCGCGTGTGGAAGACGGGGAAAGGGAGGCTAGAACCCAGACCCTCGTTAAAGAACTGAGAGCGATCTCTGGCTTCCTTCCCGCTTCCTGGGCTCCCATTTTAGAGGAATGTTATTGTTTAAAGAGACCCCATTGAACTATTTCCTGCTCTTTGTCACCTTCCTCTCGCTCTCCGGCAGAGGTTCTCACCGAGAGGTAATAAACCAACTGCTGCCCACACCGCTTGGCGCGGAGGCGGATAGGGAAACGCGCCCAGCGTGCGTTCCAATAATCCCGGGGCCACATTCGGTGCAGGCGCAGCTACCATCACCAAAGTCCAACTTTTATGTGGGATGCGAGGACACCTACTAGGGTCGCTATCTGGACAGATTCGCACTGGCCTTCCCTCTCCACGCAGGTGAAGGTCGTGGGGAACCCGGACGGCCGAGGTGGGAGTTAGTGGCAGTCCACGGGGCGAGGGGATGTGTCCCGAAGCTGCTGCACCTCTGGGGGCTGAGGCTTCGGAGTGGTCAGGGAGACGCAGATCCGCCGTAGTCCCTCGCAGGTGCGCGCAGCGTGGACACTCTAAGTGCGACTGCCGCAGGTGCTAGGGTGCGCTTGCAGAGCGCGATGTGATCGAGTGTGGGAGTGGAGAGTTTAGCAGTTGTTCTGGGAGCAGGGGCCTGGGTGGCTTCAGCACTGCCCCTTGCCCTCCCCCCAGGGTCCGCCCCGCCGCTTTGATGGAGGTGCAAACATTTGGGGGAGGGCGGGGGTGTCGGGACTGAGCCCGACGCTTTTCTTACAGGAAGCGCGCGCGGAACCCATTGTTGGCCCCCGGCCTCCGGGCCCGCCCGGCCGGTCTGATATGGCCGCACACCGCCAATGGGCAGTGGCTCAGTACTTCAAAGGGTGTCCCGCCCAATCCGCCGCGCCCCCTGCGAGGCCACTTGGGCTGTATTTATGGGGAGGGGACCCATTTTCTCTTCCCCAGAGACTTACTCTTGTCGCGCCTTGCGGGAGTTCAAGTGGAACCACGGCTCCCCAGCCCCTCTCCCCTCTCCCCGCCCCCTTCCCCCCACATCCCGGTCCTGGGCCTCCTTTGGCGAATGTGCTGGGACCCAGGTGTGGTCTTTGGGTTCCGCGAGTGACCCTTTTTCTTGGAAAAGGGGAGTGAGAGAAGTGAAGGTGGCTCTTGGGTAGGCAGTCGAGACTCGGAGCGGTGGAGAGGGCGGCAGGAGGATGAGCTCCCCAGGCACAGAGAGCGCAGGGAAAAGCCTGCAGTACCGAGTGGATCACCTGCTCAGCGCCGTGGAGAGCGAGCTGCAGGCGGGCAGCGAGAAGGGCGACCCCACGGAGCGCGAGCTGCGAGTGGGCTTGGAGGAGAGCGAACTGTGGCTGCGCTTCAAGGAGCTAACTAACGAGATGATTGTGACCAAGAACGGCAGGTAGGTGCGTGCTGCAAGACTGCGGTCTGGGGCCTGGAGAATGCCTTTCGGGTATAGAGGTGTAGAACACCGTTTTCTGCTTAAGGCCGACTTTCTGTTTCTTCCCGCTGCGTTAACTGCCCCGAGGGGGTTTCCTAACACAATTTTCTCCGGAACTTTCACTGACGAAACTCTAGGATTCCCCCAGGTCTACACTGGTGTGGCCAGGCTTGCCTGCGTCCTCTAAAGCCTTGATCAGTTTGTCCCTCTTCTGTCTCTAGAGACTGTGGGCTTTGTGGGGAGATGGATTTAGTCCCAGGGCTGACTAAGCTCAGGCAAAGAATCTTGTGAGACCGGCCGCAGGGGTGCTTCTTTGACCATAATAAACACTTGGTGCCAGGCTTCCTCACTCCAGCCGGATGGGGTCCTCCTGCTGTGCCCTGTCTTTTCCAGGAGGATGTTCCCGGTGCTGAAGGTGAACGTTTCGGGTTTGGACCCCAATGCCATGTATTCCTTCTTGCTGGACTTCGTCGCGGCTGACAATCACCGCTGGAAGTATGTGAATGGGGAGTGGGTACCTGGGGGCAAGCCGGAGCCTCAGGCGCCCAGCTGCGTCTACATCCACCCAGATTCGCCCAACTTCGGGGCCCACTGGATGAAGGCTCCGGTGTCTTTCAGCAAAGTCAAACTCACCAACAAACTCAACGGAGGAGGCCAGGTAGGGTGTGCGGGAGGCAGGGAGACAGCCGCAGGGCGCAGCCCAGAGAGTAGAGGGCTGCGCCTCCCCCAGCTGGGAGCCTAGAAGGGCTCCCTCAGCTTCTGTCAGCCTCACAGAAGCCACCACAGGCCTCCCCAATTAAATCTTTAGTACTGTTTATAATTAAACTGATAAGGGTCACACCGAGGCCCGCGGTTGGGAGTCCTCACTCTGGAAGGCTGGGGTGGCGGGTGGAACAGGCTGGCTGGCCTGCCTCTTGGGAAACCTGCTCAGGCTTCATCACTCTGAGGGACCCAGCCGGGTGGGCTTTGATTATGAATCCTCAGTCACATCGAAGTCAGAAGGGAACACCGTGGGACACTCCACTCTTCTCGAAAGCCCTTAATTGGAGCCTGTTGCTAGAAAACTCAACTCTAAGTCGCCATCAAGGCAGGCATTTAAAGTTGTCTGTGGCCTTATTCTGTCAGGGTTCAATAGTGTGTAGCGCCTCATAGCCTAGTTCCAGACCAGCCGTGAGAAGCAGATGTATAAGACACGGAGAAACCCCACCATGGGGTGCATACTGCGGGCAGTTTCCCCGGAGACTTTGTAGCTGGATCCGTTTCTCACCTAGAAGTTGCTGTGGAGGCTGTGGTACTGAGGTGGGCACCGTCTCCACGTTTGCTCCTTTTCTCTCCTGCAGATCATGTTGAATTCCTTACACAAGTATGAGCCTCGCATTCACATTGTGAGAGTGGGGGGCCCACAACGCATGATCACCAGCCACTGCTTTCCCGAGACCCAGTTCATAGCTGTGACGGCCTATCAGAACGAGGAGGTGAGGCTTCGGAAGGGAGAGAGAGGGTCCCTCTCCGTGTGCTCACCCGCTGTGCCTAGGCCGGGGACTTCATGCTTTGTAAAAATCTCCTGGAAAGGGCTAGGTGACAGTCCCTGCTCTCAGCAATGTGAAGTCCTGTGGCTGTTAATAACACCTCCAGAAACCCAGGGTATGTCTGAACATAGACATGATAGAGACCAAATTTATTGGGAATCTCACTCAAATTGCTTTTTTTTTTTTTAAATTTCCCAACATTTCAGACCCAGATAGAAAAATTTTCTGATTCAATCTGAATATTTCGACTTGTTTCTGTTCTTTCTTGGTTTCTTTTTTCCTTCTTTGGTAGTGTTCCCCCCCCCACCCCCGCCGCCATTTCCACCTTTATTTGATTCAGGGTCTTGCTATGTAGTCCTGGCTATCCTTATATTCACAGCAGTCCTCATGCCTCAGCACTCTGAACCTTGGACTGACAGACTCATGAACTTCTCATGGTCCCCCCCCCATTCAATCAAGTCTGGTAATAGCACTGAATTAGTAAATGTCCTTCCTTGTTTTTCAGATCACAGCCCTGAAAATTAAATACAATCCGTTTGCAAAGGCCTTCCTTGATGCCAAAGAAAGGTGAGAATTCCAACCCCACTCTGGGTAGAAAGAAGTTTCTCTCTCTGGGAAATTCTTCCTTTGACTACTCTGATTTTTTTTTCTTTTTTCAGAAATGATCACAAAGATGTGCTGGAGGAGCCCGGGGATGGCCAGCAGCCGGGGTATCCCCAATGTACGTTTGTTGGTCCTCCATTCTCCGTGGCCTTCTGGCTTGTTTGAGTTCTAAGATTCTCCAAAACCAGAACCCACAGGGAAGCAGAAGGCTTTCTGGGAACAATGTGGGCATAGCAGGATGGCCCTTTGTGACCAACACAAATGCCCTTTGGTTTGGGGGCTGTTGCCTGATCTTCTTGGGCTTTGGATACTGGCAGGCCAAAGAACTCTGGATTTGTGTGTTTGTTCTGTAGTAGCCAGAGGTAGAGTGGACTCCTGGGAGTTTAGACTTGGTTATGATGGGAATTCAGTTCAGCCCCCTCCCTTGGAGATGACCTCCACTCTTGTTAGTGGCTGAACACTGAATGGCTATCTTTGGAGACACACATGAACAACCATCCTGCTTAGTCCCCTTTGGTTCCTGACTTCTGTGGCTTGGAAGGAAGGGGGCTAGTCCTTTTAGAATTCCTTTGGGAGTTCTCTTAGCCAGAATGAGGGGTGCAGATAGATCAGCTATTCTCAGCTGGTATTTTAACACCACCTTCCACAAATGTGACAAATGAATTTAAGAAACAAGTCCCCCATTGTGACTCAAAGGTACTCATTTGAGAGCAGATAGGGAGAAATGGGCAAGAGATGGCCTGTGTATGGGGCCACACAGGACAGCATGGGCGTGCGTGCCTGTGTGCGCACGTGTGCACGCATATGTGCATGTGTGCACACGACTCTATCTTTTAAGTATTGTCTGAGGAACTGTCCTGCTTAGAAATTGTCTCATGGATCATTCATTTTGCTTAATTAAAAAAAATTAGTTTAGTTCATGTAGCTGTCTTGGAGAGGAGATATTGTGGGGAGAATGGGGAGGCCTGGAGGAGGCAAACAGAAGGGACTAAATAGGAGATAGATTCACTAGCTATTTCTGAGGCAGGAGCATGACTGAGGAGGAGCAGTCCTGAACAGTCTGAGTCCCACCTGTGGCCAACTGTGTTCCTCCTGTCTTCATGCTCCTTCCTTTGAACAATCATCTCATTCTTGCTGATAGAAAGCTTCTTGCCACAAAGACATCCCACGCAGGCTGGGAGAGGTCTCAGGTTTGGTCCTCCAGGACAGAGCAATGGGCTCAGTTCAGGCCACTCGAGAGCTGGGCATCTCAGGCTTACAGAGTGGAGTTCCACACTCTGATGTTTGAGATAAGTTAGCACTGAGGGGTGGGTCATTGGGTGTTCCTCACTTCCAGAGAGAGACTCCTGGGTTAGGGCTAGGGTGGTTCTGAGTCTCAAGCAAGGGCCTCTCACTCAGCATGCTTTCCTCACAGCAGGGGGTTGGCTTGTTCCTGGCACCAGCACCCTCTGTCCACCTGCCAGCTCCCACCCTCAGTTTGGAGGCTCGCTCCCTCTCCCCTCCACACATGGCTGCGAGAGGTACCCGGCTCTGAGGAACCACCGCTCATCCCCTTACCCCAGCCCGTACGCTCATCGGAACAACTCTCCCAGTAGGTTCTGTGTCTTGGTTCATCAGAGGCTGGGTGGTGGTGGGGACACCAGTGGGGAGGAATTCATACAGGGGTGCGGGATAGAGAACCCAGCTCCTGGTGGCTCCTGAAGAGACTTGGTCAGGATGGTGGTTTACCAGAGGTCTCTATCATGTTCCTCAGAACACCCTCCAGGCTTAAAAACAACAGCTGTCTGGTCCTTTTCACTGCTCTCTAGTTTAGACGTTCGATGAGGTGATCTCTCTAAGGTAATCCATCATTGGACTAGAACAAAGATTCTCCAGGTGTAGAACCCAGGCCCTCAGTGTCACTGAGAACCAGCCTCAGTGCAGATCCTCCCAGCCCCAGAAGCTGCAGGGTGTGGTGGCCCTCCTGACCACCTTCCCCATGGGGACTTCCAGAGACCTCCTCTCTCACACTGTCTGCTCCAGGAGGAGGGGGAAATGGCTAAGGAACACCATAAAACAATTAAGTAATTACAGCTGATTCCCAGTGAAAGGCAACAGCTCTGGAGACCTGTTCAAGGAGAGGCTGGCCTCTGAGGTGGGGAGATCATATTTTTAATTTAGTGAGGCCCTGGTTTCCAAAGCCTCCTCAACCCTTATAGCATCACCCCCTGTGGAAAAGTGGCAAGTGCTATTTATTTACTTAGCACTTACTTGGCTAGCATTTGAAAGGCTCTGAATCTGATCCCCAAGTCACAAAATAGAAATAAATAGCATAAAAATAAAAAGATAAGCAATACCAGTGTCTGCGGGGCATCTGGTGGGATGATAAGAGATAGCTTATATTAACTGGGATATATTTTCAAATAATTAACATAAAACAATAAATATTGCCCTGATGGCCACTTAAGTGGCTTGCTCGCTGCATCTAGTGTCCAGGCAGAATTTGTTTGCAGCGTTAGGTTGGCTCAGCTGTTAGTATCGTTTTTGTTACACTTTCTCCCTTTTCAAAGACCTGCCGGTAACTCCCCTCTCTGCCCCCAGCCTATGCCGACAATTCGTCTGCCTGTTTGTCCATGCTGCAATCCCACGACAACTGGTCTAGCCTAGGAGTGCCTGGCCACACCAGCATGCTACCCATGAGTCACAGCACCAGCCCGCCTACCGGCTCTAGGTACGTATGGTCTGTGTGTGTGTGTGTGTGTGTGTGTGTGTGTGTGTGTGTGTGCGCGCGCGCGCGTGGGTGCGCACGTGTGAAAGCAAGTCCTCCTACAGCTTCTGCTGGTTCCATTTATGGCCTTTCCCCTGATCTGCCTCTGGATCCCACCTATGGGTTGGGCTTGTGTTTATAATTAAACTAAGCTGAACGGTACCAGGGACACAGGTTCCATGTGTAGTTTTGGTGGCCTGCCTTTATTTTACTGGTGGTTTGCTCTACTTAACCAAACCAGGGTACAGCCTTACCTTGGGTCTTAGCATCACTGTGATGAACAGGCCTCTAATTCATCTGAGTTTCTCCATATGTAAAAAGATACAAAATAGCTCCAGCCTCAGGCTGTTTCTCTCAGGCTGATGGGGTTGGCATGTGTGGTTTAAAGTAACCTTTGAATTTTGAATTTGAAATTCGTGCCCTGGCAGTGCTGAAGCATGCGTGGGTAGCCCTCATATGGCGGTTCTGCTGAACTATTGGGTTTTGTGGTCTAAGCTGATGAGGATGACTGACCACGTCTCTTCCCTTAGAGAACCTTAATCAGTTAGGGCAAGGCATTCCTTGACTTTTCTGTGGATAAGGGAGTAGAAGCCCTGAATGGCATGCTGGGAAACAGGTAAAGGATGGGAACTGACTGACCAGTGAGTTCTATAACAGGAAGGCTCAAACATACAGCAATGCTGGTGGCAACGCATCCCCCTCAGGCTTGTTACTCCTCCACAGTACTGACAGGATAGCAGAGGAGCAAAGCTGGAGGCCACCACGGGTTCTCCCGTGGGGAAAGGTGCCGACAGTATAAATTCTGGGACAGTGGTGTGTTGATGGGCCTGCCATCATGTGACCTTGACCTCAAAGGCATCCCTGGTGGTCTAGAGCAGTGGTTTTCAACCTTCCTAACGCTGTGAGCCTTTAATGCAGTTCCTTGCGTTGTGGTGACCCAACCATACAATAATTCCATTACCACTTCAAAACTACAATTTTGCTGTATTGATCGTAATGTAAATATCTGATATGCAGGATTAGATGTGTAACACCCAAAAAGGTTGCCACCCACAGGTTGCCAACCATTGATCTAGGACATTAAATGTTTGCCTAAGGTCTTAGCTGTTTTTGTTTGTAATAGGAATCTAGTTGTCAGGTGTTTCTTTGGACATGGGGTTCCAGTATATAGCCCAGGCTGGCCTTGCGCCCACTATGGAGTCTAGAGCTCAAGATCTCGATTCTCCTGGCTCAGCGCCCTCAGCTGTTGGCAGGTATTGCTGCACCCACTTTAGTCTGATCTTGAATCAAACACACCCAAGACATCAGGCTTGTCAATGGCCCTGAGGACATTGTTTCAGAAGCTAGAGAACCTGCTGGGAGCCAAGTGCTGACCAGTTTGGTGTCTCAGTCTGAAACTCACGCCTGGAAAAAACCAGTAGTCCTCCTTAATTTACCCAGGCTAGCCCTCAAGTTCAAATTGAGGTAGGTGTAGAGGAAAGCATGTTAAATAATGGTCATCATGTCAGATCATGTTATATGTTTATAGATGAACTCTAAGGAAGGTTTCCCAAACAAAAATTTAACATAGTTTAATTAAATTTGTTTCTAGGGTGTAGGCCAGAGGGCTTGATACTCATTTCAGTATCCTCATTTTAAAGATGAGGAGACAGCCTGAGGAGCTGTCACGGGGTGAGCCACAGAGCAGAGCTGGTCTCAAGTCCAGCTCTGGGGTTGCTTGCATATTGGCCCATGTCAACCTTGCTAACACACTGTCCACTGAATGAGATGGGCCAGCGATGATGCTATTCTGAGGAACACTTTCCTCTGTGAATTCAGGGGTTGCTGCAGGGTGTTGGCCACATTATCCAGCAAAGTAGGCCCATAGCGCCGAGCCTTGGAGCTCAGTGTGTTAAAGAACACAGAGCTGCTTGCCCAGAGTCTGTCTTAGCAGACCGCGGCCCGCTACTGCCCACTGGGCTTGTGTGCGCCTTCCTTTTTAGTTTGCTTCCTGTTGACTTTGTGTCCTCACACACTAGCTTCTAAACACATGGTAATAGTGGAAAGGCGAGCCTGCAAAACTGTGGGATGACGCAATTACCGACAACAACGTTCTGATTACTGGTCCCTCCCCTCCAACTCTCACCCATGTTGCTTATTTGTAGCCTCTTCCCAGCGCCTTGACATCTGTTTTCTTCATTTCAGCCAATACCCCAGCCTATGGTCTGTGAGCAATGGCACCATCACCCCAGGCTCCCAGACAGCTGGGGTGTCCAACGGGCTAGGAGCCCAGCTCTTTCGGGGCTCCCCTGCACATTACGCACCTCTGACGCACACGGTCTCGGCGGCCACGTCCTCTGGCTCCCCTATGTATGAAGGGGCGGCTACCGTCACGGACATTTCTGACAGCCAATACGACACAGCTCAGAGCCTCCTCATAGCCTCGTGGACTCCCGTGTCACCTCCATCCATGTGACCTGAACTCTTCCCCGATGTGCGCTAAGACTTGTAACAGCCAGTGTCGACTGGATCCTCTCCTAGGCACCACAAGGCAGGCTCTTGGGACAAGGGAAAGACATAAAAGCTTGCTACAAACTCCATTGTCAAGTAAGAGGATGTTTATCATCTTCCACGACCCTCTTGCTTGACGCCCGCGGTAGTGATGTGTGCCCTACATGTGAAGCCAGGTACAGAGGCGAGGCTGGGGTCCTGTGAAATCCTTTGTCTCTACTACAACGTGTAGGTGACTTTGAAAGGCTGGGCTTTGCCCACCCTGTCCTGCTTTAGGGAGACACAAGGCACACTTCTAATGCCCGTCCTCACTGCTTTAGAGTAGTTAGCTTTGAGGACAGAGAAATCATAGCCAGCAGACTGTAGCTAAAATGGAAACTCCTCCGCCCTCTAGAAGATTCTACCTTAAGCACATGTAGCTTCTTGTGTTGTGAAGTCAACTGCGCGATACTTTTCTGTGACAAACTAGCCAAAGACAATCGGCAGAAAGTTTATTTCTTTTCTGCACAATAAAGGCAATATGCATCAGATGGTCCTTGCGGTTATTGTGTTCAGGTCTCCTTTTGGGAAAGGCTTTCTCTAAGATGTGTTCTGAACTTTAATGCTGTAGCTAAATTGGGTGCAGAACTGGCGGGATGCAGGTTATGTACCTGTGCAATCTTAGTGGCTAAAAAAAAAAAGTAAAATGAAGTCATATGGAATCACAGATGAATGTGCATGGCAGTATTGAAGCATGTCGATGTTATAAAGATACAGGATATCCGCCTGATACATGGAAGGGCATAAAATGGGTTGATAAAGTCGGTTAATGTATAGTCGCCATAGAAATATGACTGCCAGTGGCTTTTGACTTTTGCAATCACTGTTTTTGTTTTTCCCCACCAGTGGGAAGACGCTGCAGGGGCCTGGGGGTGTGTGGTAATCCCTCCATCTAGTGGCAGAATCCACAGTGGGACCTAGGTTTTGGCTTAACCCAAATCTCTTCTCTCTTAAAAAGTTTCGCTGGGCAGTTTGGTCACCGGTGGTTGTGCACATTAAGTTTGAAATAGAAAGCTGAGGGGTAAGCAGGGTACCCCCTGCAGCACTGCCTTCCTCAGACCCCATGCTGAGGATACAAAGTGATTGCTTTCCAGAGCTTAGGTAGAAACGACCGCACTTGGTGTAGTCTGCGCCCTATTCTTAGAGGGCTTGCCCTCTTCCTGGAGAGCTCCGCACACCTGACCAGACTGATTGACAGGGTTAGGCGAAAAGTTGCAGAATTAATCCACGGCTAGGATTGGGGAATAAACCAATTGTTTGTCTGTGGGTCCTCACCAGGGCAGGTGCTAAGATTCTGGGCCTGGGCTGGGAGGATATTTGAGGTGGAGACCAGGTGTGAGCAGGTGCCACCCTGAGCTCATGCTCTTCACAATGTGTGTGGAGTGTGGCCTTGTACGTCAGGAACTTCACTGCCCCTGTGGTGTCTGCTGGGGTTGAAGAACCTGCAGGTCATCACGAGGGATGTCTTCATCCTGTTATTAAGGCTGAGGAGACAGAGCTCCGTATCCCTTCTGTTATGAGTCTGTGTCATAGCGGGGCAAGTTCTGAGCATGGGCAGTGGATGACGATTGACCTGCTTAGCTTCATCAAAGTATTCAGGTTTTGAATTAGAGTGGTATTTTAATAATTCAATCTTTGTGGTGATGAAGTGGGAACAGAAGGGGCTGTAAAATGGAAAGGACCTGGATTTGAGCTCTGCAATCTCGCCTCATCTACAGGGGATATGATCTAAGATCTGTTGGAAGACTGAAACCATGGGTGGTGTGTGTGTGTGTGTGTGTGTGTCTGTGTGTGTGTACAGTTTTCCCCATCTGACCGTCCATCCATCCATCATCCATTTATCCATCTATCATCTATCTACCCATTATCCATTCATCCATTCATCCATCCATCCATCCATCCAAGTGGCATCTCTTAATTTAAAAAATAGGCACTGAAGGATATTAATAAATATAATAAAATCGAGCAGTTATTACAGTGTATTGTGATAAAGTCACCAACACTACATTTGCTTATTGAGTAATAGTTACTGAGTCTCAAGCACTGTGATGCTAAGACAAACGCCCTGATGTCCACACAGATGTGTAAGAGTGGGTACAGTGGACAGAAGAAAGATCCGACCCAGGCACAATGCAGCAGGCTGCTGTAATTTATTTAACAGGTGGCACAAGAAAGACACCACGTGACAGAGCTCACGTGGAGGGGCTTTTTACTGGGGGAAAGGGAATGGAAAACGGGGAAAAGTGGGGAGGGGAGAGGGGAGACTGGCCTCGGGACCGGAGCGGAAGAGAGAGAGAGGGAGAGAAAGGGGGGGGGG